TGGGCGCTCGGGTACATAGACATGGCAAACCGGACCCTCTTCTTTTATGACAGTCTGGATGGTGTGAATTCGATATTTTTCCAAATTGAAATATGTTGTGTTGGCTTCGTCATCATTCTGACTATCTTCAAACATTTCAGAATATCCCACAAGTTCACATTCATGTCCCACAACAACGGAATGGATATGACTGCGGCATGTTCCTGCTTGTTATGGTTCGCCATCTTCTTCTGCGCGCCGACACACACTTTGCTCCTAGTCAATCGTCCTATTAGCGTAACACAACAAATTCTGTCGCGACTCGTGCGGCACATTTAGATGTTCAAACTTACTTCCTGTTACATGCAAAACTACCGTGGATACCCTTGTCAGGGTATTCACACCGACAACGGTGCTGCAAAGTCACCCAAGCGAGCTAACAGTGTTGACTTACCGTCGCCATACCCCTCAGGCCACTGAGAGTGGTAGTGATGGGATTATAACCCGGCGCCTACTTAGTGCCCCTCAGGCATGAAACCTATCAAGGTAGCTGACGGGGCACTACAGATGTTTCTGCACAAAGGCTAGTAGGGGTTCTTCGCGCTGTTCTCTTCTGGTTTTGATCTTGTGGATAGCTCCTTTGGGCAGGTGGCGGGCATGACCACATATTGGCTTACTCGTTAACACGCCGCAACTTTTGCGGGATCGGGGAAGGCCCCTGTAGTGCGATGGAGGAAGAAGATTTTGGGCCCAATGAAAAGGGCAAGTGGACTGCACGCTGGACTCTTGGTTTACACAGTATTGGCCGGACAGGGGAAAGAAAACAAAAACAAATGCCCTACATGCTCTAATACGACATTGCTCCGGCTGATATGCCTTCCTATCGCGGTTTCATACATGATGAGCTCATAACCAAAGTGCCCAAAGCATTGCTTCCCCAACCGAGGCACGACTGCTCATACACTCCCCCTGGTCAGTGCATGATAAGGATTACAAGCACTACCTGCCGTGGGGGGAAGGAGGGCACATCAGTCCAGGTTATTGTATGTTGGCTCTTGATTACGAGTGGGATTACCTGTGGATCTCTGTCAATTTGGCTGTTATACGCAATTCCCAGTGCTACAAATCACATATCTGTACTGTTTGAGACTGTAACACATATGGTAAAGCATGACTGTTACACTATCGTCAACCACACGCACACACAAAAGCTTTAACAACCGTGCTTCGTCTTATTTGACTCACGGAAGTTATTTGTATTTCTTTTTTCTCCTGTGCCTTAGCCATATTTTGCAGGTCCATACTGTTTTACAAATCTTCTCAAATCTGCCAAGCAACAACGCCTTTGTATATTTTGTGCACATGTTCCAAAGACATAACTTCGCTTATGACAACATGACTTGCCTCTCCTTTACCTTTCTCTATTTCCTCGTCAAAAACTGTGGACCGGTTGCTGCCATCTATGGACCGGTTGCCGCCATCAATAGAACAACCAAAGCATATACTGCATAGTACAACGGCCGACTTCATAAATTACATCGAATATCGTCCTTACCATGAGACAGCAAGAATCACAGAAGAAGGATCCTTGTTGGATCATCTTAGGTGGCGACAAGGCGCTCGGCATATGGTGACAGTGTACTTGGCAGATATCGGCGACGAAAGCGATGTGACTGCTCTGCATATGGCATTGAGGACGGCATTCGAAGACACCTACAAACATTTATTTCCGCTATT